GTAGTATACATATATGTAATATATATATATATATAAATATTTATATATCTGTGTGTGTGTTTGTGTTTGTGTACTTTATTATTTTGTTTGTTCGCTTCATACCTATGGGCGTGAAGCCTAGGAATACTTAAGTGCGCCATCCCAATCGATTGACAAACGGCAGGGATGGAAGTTTTCGTAACCAAGTAAAATCTCGGCGTACATTTATGTGTGTGCGTGTTTTTGAACAAGTTTGACCGTGCAACATTTTTTGACCATGGGTGGATAGAAGGCCTTATAATATATATTTTATTGGTCGTGTACTACACTGAGTTCTACAAGTAGTCACCTTGCAGGCAGTGGTGATTAACCAATTTGTCCCCTTATTCGTAGTCTAAAATTATATTTTTCTTTGTTTGTATTAGCAATATTATATTCCTAATGTTCTAATTACTGATAACATTATTGTGCAAGCTCATAACCCTAGAAGCTTCAGTCGCCATTTAACGAGCTCAATCGAATGCGTCAGAAAAAAGCAATTCACGCTTACAATCCTGGTGACCCGATTTTCTCTATGAAATTATGTACTGTCTTTGTGTTATTGGTCGAGGTCTATTCAATCGACAAGGGCTTGAAGATGTGGCGACCCACCTGGTACAGGGGTATGTGTACCGTATAACGTATTAGAGGATGTATTCATGCTCTCGATTCTGCTATCCGTGGCCAACCTGTGGGTGCCACCCAACCCGGAATCACTGGAATCGTCGTGTTCATCTCTGGAGTGTTTGAAGTCTCTACATTTCCCCATATATGGGTATTCGTCGGCATTGGGATTTTGGGGTTCACCTACAACCGCCCAATGTGTGTAGATGTAACGCTCCACCTGGGCACTGGTCCATCTCCTCGCAGGATTGACGTCCAGCATGTGTATTAAAAGCGTGGATTGTGTATCGGGAATGGTTCTCCAGGGCTGCTGTGTGAAGTCATGGCGCAAATACATTTGGTACTCTTTACTACGATGCGAGGCTTCTCCCCAAGGGAAGCGACCAACAAGCAAGCAGAAAAGCAACACGCCCAACGCCCACACATCTGTAGCCTTGATATCCACTTCAACGTACGTGGCATCTTGATTGTACCATAGTTCTGCGGCCATGTAGGGAATTGTACCCACATGTCGCTTATAAAGAGCACCGGGTCGTTCATTCACGCACTCAGACAGTCCAAAGTCGACTAGCTTTGCTGTCTTCTTACTCGAATCCAGACATACATTCTCCAGCTTGATGTCTCGATGGGCCACCCCTACGTCATGCATATATCTAATTGCAGACACCAGCTGTGTAAAATAATGGCGCACGCGCATGGGATGTGCCCCTATATTTGGAATGACCGCACTATACAGCTCACCTCCCCCCATATATTCCTGTAATAAGACCATGACCTCATTATTCTTGGCAGTTTCGTACAAGGCTACGATATTAGGATGGTGCAACCGACTGTGTAACATGGCTTCTCGGTCGACGAAGGCGATGTCCGACTTTTCCAATCTTTGTTCTTTCACAACCATTAAGGCGCCTGTAGCCCTTTCCTTGGCTAAGAACACTTCAGCGGTACTACCCTGACTGAGTGTTTTGATGACAACATACTCGCGCAGTAAGTCCTGGACATCACCGTATTTGTGATAATGAGTGTTATACATATTAATTGGAAAGCCTCGAATTCTTGAATTTCCTTTCAGTATTTTCGAAGACATCTGAATACCCACTTCTTGTGAGCACATCTCGTCGGCAGGGTTAGCTATGCTGTAACTTGTTAACGGTTTTTGCAGTATGTGTGCCTCTATGCTAGCACTCTCATTGCACTCTGCGTGTTTTGAATGAACGGTAGTGGTTTGCAAAGCATATTTTGCAAGTTGTCTTGAGTCTTCCCAACAACCACCTACATAACTCATATTGTAATTTTTAATATAGCCGAGCGTAAAGGACATCCGTTATAAGAGAAGTGTTCAATTGTCCATGCGACAGAGAACTTTTCCAAGAAGTGTGATGGAAGTTCCTCGCATACTATTGAAAAAAACTACATACAGTCGTATTCACAACTTCACTCGCACTGATAAATATACAAGATCTAATTGTTTACATTGAACAATCTATTGCATTTTTATCACGTAGAGAGTCAACCACAAATATTGTTGAAAAAAACATTTGACACCTTAGCCTTCTAAGTATGTACGTACATACTAAAATATATTATTGACACATACCTGGTTTTTGTTCTTAAAAAAAATTGACATTCATACATTACATAGTGTTCATTAGATCTATTTCTGAAAAATAGACAGGAACTGCAAGGAAATTAGGAAACTCCGAAACTCAAAACTGACAAGTGAAAACTCAAAACTGGCAAGAGTCGGAGTGTCCGGCTGGGCCTGGTAGTTAGCGTGTCAGCGTGTGTCGTGTGACGTGTCAGGCCGTCATGAGTTCAGGCTGTTAAATGTCAAATGCCAATCTATTTACATACAACCTGAGGTTAACGGCGGGCGCCGGGCGGCAGCCGGCTGATGAGTGCAGGACTCCAGGACTGCAGTCACTCTGCAGCCTGCAGGTGCAGACTAAGGAAAGGAGTCAGGCCCCCAGGCCCCCAGCCTCTCAAGACTCAGGCACTCAGTATTCTACTATTCTCTTTTTCGTCTTACAAAACAATATACAACAACCCAAATTTTAAAAAAAAGCTTGCGTAGTGTTGTACTCTACTCAGTACTCGCTGCTGTCGACAACTCTCGGCACTCAAAAGTCAACACAGCACTCTCGACAGCCGACACTATCGAGTGTCGAGTTGTCGGTTGTAATCACGCCTCACGACTCACGACTCATCTCACGACTCACGACTCACGATTCACGACTCACGACTCACGAGTGTCGACTCATTGCCACTGTCGAGTGACAAACTGTCAACTCGCGCGCGTGAGAGAATCTGTGATTCTGACTCGTGTGAAGTGTTAAAACAAAAATAATAATTTAAAAAACAATACTATAGTACATACTTAATTCAGAAATACAACTATATTTGTAGTACATATTAGGCGGTTCAAATGTGCTACTTTGTTTTAGGGTTTATTTTCGCCCCAAAATACAGGGGGGGGGGAGATAACAAAATTCAATATCGGCATTGAACCCTAGTTGTGCCCTCTAGTTTGTGATACATTTTCAAACCCTAAGATTGTTGTTTATATTGAGAAAAAAAATATTATTTGATATTTTACAAAGTGTTTGGGACTGCAGTCAGTGCAGTATGTATTTATTAATAGAGGTCTAGAGAGCGACATACACGATAGAGCATGCCAATATGTATTGTATTGGGTCAAAATGTGCCTATATGTGTACAAAATTTAAAAGTGCAAAATGCACCAAAAATCCAAAAAGCAGGGGGTGGGGGCCGGGGGACCCTAAAACAAAGTAGCGCTTCCAAACCGTCTTTTACTGATTACAAAATATACAAATACATATTCATAATGTATTTACAATTTACATACATACTGGCGGCTAGCCTGTGGCCTGTGGCCTGTGGGGCGTGGGCTGTGGGCCTGTGTCCAGTGGGCTGTGCGAGTGCGCGGCTATGCGGCTGTGCCACCTGCGCCTTTGACTCTTCGCTCTACTCCTGTGAGTCTGTGAGTCTGTGACTCGGTGGCTAGCTACGTTATTATTAGTCGTTATTTACGTTTACAAAGGTCATAAGGTGAGTAGAACAGGTTGTCAGTCTTTTTTTTTCAAACAAAAAGCTTCTTTAAAACCTCGTTACGTTCACAGGAGCTACATTCAAACGCATACTTTAATTTGGCTTCTATTTTTGTTTTATTTGGGTGCAATATTTGGGCACTGAGGTCACACCGAGGTCACAGTGAGTGAGGTGCAAAATAATGATTTTTTTGGGATGCCTTCATGTGAGGCAAAAGGAGAAAAACAAAAGGAAAAAAAGTGTTTCATTTTGCTAGAAGAAGGCATAAATTAAATAATAAATATGTATGAAAAAAGGGAGAATGGAGCTGAAGTCTGATTGCTTTTTATACCCATTCTTTATATTTTTGTACGTTTATACGCAACAATGTATAGTTGTATACGTTGAAATAAAATATCGTAATAAGGTTCGCCTAGGCCCTGTGGCCTACTCTATAGTAGAGGGCCTGGGCCCAGGGGCCCTACTCTCTACTAGTAGGGGCTGGGCCGCTGGGGCGCTGGGCCGCTGGGCCCCAGTGCCGGATTCCAATTTCCAGTTCGTTCAGTCACTTCTGAAGGTCTGATAGAAAGAGATAGAGTAGTAGGTAGTCACTACTCGCTACTCACTACATACTGAGTCGTGTCTCTCATTTAAACTTTATCGTTACTGTATTGTGAATGTATATGTATGTAGCCATTTTCATAATAATAAACAAAAAGTAGTTTCTATGTACAGTTGTATACACTTTCAAGACATTTCTACTGCTCTAGAGCTCGCTCTCTACTTGTAGAGTGTATTTAGTATTTACTACATATTATATTTATTTAGTAAATGCTAAATAAGTAAATGTTCTCTCTCTGTCTCTCTGTAGTCCGTACTCTGTAGAATTGCGTCACTATGTACTGCCACTCTCTCATTATCAGTTGATCACGAAAGTCCCAAAAAGTTAAAAGTACTGTAAAAGCAAAGTCCACACCATGAGTGTTGACTGTTGACTGTGTCCATAGAATAAAGAAAATTATACCTGTGGCCATATTCACAGTCTTTAAAAAAAGGAGAGGAGAAAGAGAGAAAAGATAAGTCACGCCTAAGTATAAATAACCCCACCAGAAAGCACTCAAGTCTCAAAGTGACAAAGAGAGAAGATCAGAAGCAGCATGTGTAACAGATAGTGATATTTCCTCATTTCTGATTGGCCTTACCGGAAAGTCTGAAACTCAGAAACTGAATTGAAAGTCTTTTTATTTTAACAAAAAGCAAATAATTATTTAATGTTGTTTTTATTTTGTTTTTCAAAAAAAGCAACTACGTACATACCATCAAAAACAATTTATTCTAGAAAAAGTGCACATTCCAATGATTCCAGAGTAGATAATAACGTGACGGTACGGACGGCATGGACGGTTACCCGTCCCGGGCGGGCGCGATCGCCACACCGCCACCATAAAATACTTTCTTTTTGTAACAAAATTGGCATTCTTATACGAAGTAATTGAAATTTGGATCCGAAATCCGCCCAGACTCGCACCAGTGATTGGCAACAAAGATAATAATAAAGAAGCCTTGCATAGCCGTCGAGAGAGAAAACAGAGGCAAATTGAGTGTGATAGGTGGCCTTCATATTGGAGATGGTTAAGACTGCGACCACTAAGTCTACCTTTTGGTTTTGCGACCACTGTGTCTGACGCTCTCGACTGACGCGTTAGAATTACGACCTGAACTTGCAACCACCAAGTCTGACGCTGACGCCTGCGACCGCTAAACTTGAAGCTTTCGCCTGCGTCAGTTAAGTCTGACGCTTAACCTTGCGACCACTAAATCTGACGCTTATACTTGCGACCAAGGGTTGACATAGTGGTCGCATTCTTAACAAAGCGCTATATATTGTGGCCAAAGTTTAAAACCGGGTGGCCACTATCGCAGTGCCTGCTTTTGCCCACACGTTTTACGGACATATTGATATAATAATCCCTACTGAGATTCTTCACCTTTTCTCGCTTTACATCGCAATGTTCACTTAGCTGTACCTGAGTATCATTTATATATATATATATATGTGTGTGTGTGTGTGTGCGTGTGTGTGTGTGTGAGTATAT